GGGTGCGAAAGTGTAGCTGATATATTTGTTCCAATTGGCTACGAAAGTCAAACAAGAATAAAGAAGACTTATATATAAGACGTCTTGCTATGCACAAATGAATTTATCAGCAGAACACCAGACACCAGATGAGCCCTGTCGCACTGCGGCACTTGTTATTATGAATTTTAGTGTATGTTGTATTATTGTAGTAGTCACGAATTAAATATATGGCTGTCTTGCACTGTCATTGTATGCAATAATTTACTCTTTGTTTTGTATCATTAAGAAATATAGATAATTTTAGCATATACATCGCAGTGACTCCTATGTAAAATAATGCTTTTACCTAATTTGCTGTCAGCTAGATAGCCCACACACGAGGAAGTGTTACAAATATAGTATAATAGTCACTGTGCTAAGCATTATATCGCACATACATGTGTAAGTTTATATTTTTAATACGATTCAATTACACGGCTTTTTACAAAAAAACGAAAGATCTCTGGTACAATTTGTTCAACACCAACAAACCCATACCAATGATTATTTTATCGCAGGATGTGCGTGGGTGTCTACCGACCTTCACTCGATCACACGCAATCTATTGGCCAGGGGCCCGTTGTCAGAAACAAAATTAGTCTTAACATTAGTCTTAACATTAATTTTTTTTCTTAGACCGTCGACAGAAACGCTGCGAAGTTGCCTGAATGGAAAATCGTAGCAGATTTCCTCATAACAATAGGAAACAAAGCGCTGTCGACGGTCTACGAGAAAATGTTAGTGTTAAGACTAATGTTAAGACTAATTTTGTTTCTGACAACGGGCCCCAGGCAATTTTTTAACAAATGTTGTAACATAACTAAGAGCTGACAGTGTATACTTATTGCCATGTCATTGCAATCGTTTCTCGTATATATGTTATCTGCAGGAGGATGTAAGAGATATATTATGCCCTTCTAATATAATAAAGGTTATGGATTTATATTGAGACCTATTAGGCCTCACGTCAAGGCAGCAGGGGAAATATATTTTGTGGAAAGGTACTTGCTTTTGAGGTTGTATAGTATACCTCATAGTGTTTTCCCTGCACCATAATGTAGAAACCGATGGGCATTTCTGTACCACAGTATCAGGAGTAAATATAATCAATAAAAATTTGTGATTATTTACTCCTGGCAGTATGCATCTTACTGTATATAGAATCTAGCGTGTTAATATGGATCTGTATATCTTCATATAAATATATTTTTGATATAATTATTTATTAATAAGTTAATAGAAATATAACGGACAAATAGCGCTTTCAATAAACGTATTTCCTTACATATAGTAAGTTAATTGTGAAACCTTTATGTAATATATGTGTGTAGCAGTGCACTCTAATGCAATTGTGAACATTCATTTAAGCAAATGCTTGTATCAAAATGAATTATTTCTTAAAATTATACAAAACAGCTAGTGATTCTCATTGATAATAATAACATCAATCGTGCGTTTCTATTAGCGACCGCATGCAGTGTTAAAACTCGAGCTTTTTATGTTTCGTTCCTGCTTCCCCCGAGATCCACACATGGTGGGACTGATATTGCTAGCAATTGCACCAGAGACGCCGCTAACCGATAGATTATGCAAGTAATACTCGATGCAAGTGATATATGCTAATAGATCAACTTTCCCTAAGGTTTTGCTAAACGGACAAATTGCTCCACTGTAATAGAACTATATTAAATTTGGTTATGTTAAATAGTGCTAGTTCAACAAGGGAGCAAGTAGAAAAAAATAATATCAATCCAGGTTTATTATATCTGACATTGTAAAAATAACTTTATTCCCAATGTGTGAACATGGACATTACAGAAATAACAGAAAGCATAGGCTAGGCTATATATCAATAATCTATGCTAGTATTTTGTATATTATAGAAGTGCGAAATATAGACATGATGAATACATGTTGGGATTCTCTTTCGTAGCAGAGTGCTATGGATATGCTGGCTGCGTATATTGTAAAAAACCGCACCTGATAAATACTACCACAGTTTGTAAGAAATTTTCTACCGTAAAATTGGAGAAGCTAACTAAAAATTCGAAGTCTAAGTATATCAATTAGGTTACGAATCCTGTAAGTTACAGCGGTTCTCTGGGCTTCGTGATAAGATGTGTAATATATACTCACTGGTCACTATTGTGAATGAGTGTAATTGACACAGCGTCGTGCTGTGCTACTCTGGCGTTGCGGAAGGTTATTGTTACAGAGGTCATTCGCAATTTAATGACCTCGCGTACTAATTAGCAACGAGATGATGTAGCATTCTGAGGAAGGACAAATATTGACTGCGTGTTAGCACTGTTACTAGGCGTGTGATGCCAGCCGATGGATCAACTATAGCTGGGGGTAGGTGACCGCTGGGTGGGTAAGTTGATACGATATGTAGCAAAAACACAATAATTCACGCGGAAATTGTGTGATCATCATTGCATTATAAAGAATGCTACATACAGGCACCAAGTTAACTGATCGTATTTAGGATGTGAGTACGTACTGAAATAAATGCTGGACTAGAGTTCTGAGTCTTAAAGCTGGTTAGATTTTTTTTGATTTATTTTTTTTTGATTTATTTATTTCGATAATTACTAAAGCATACATTACATCGATAACAGCATAAATAAACAAAATGCAGCTAGAAAATTATCGAGGATCAAAAACACAAAAAAAGCGTGGCTAACACACTTATTTCCGTTGTGGTCCAACATAACATTGTACATACTATTACTATAAACTATAGCAAATATATACCCACGATCCCCAAAATTTCTGAGTGATACAGTGATACAGTACAAAACATTGAAATACAGCATAAAGAAAAAATATATACAAAAAAAAACTTCAGCATATTATGTACAAGTAAAGTGATTAAGGTAAGTGTTGAGCAGTTAAAAAGAAAAAAAAAGAAAAAAAAGAAAAAATAGAAGCTTTCTGAGTGATACAATACAAAACAGAAACAGATACATGAAGAAAAAATATAAACGAGAAAAAAACTTCAGCATATTCTGTACAGGTAAACTGATTACGGTATAAATGTTTAGCCGGTAGAAATGATGTTTCCTGAGTGAATACAGTACAAAGCAGTGCAGAACAACACGAAGAAAAACTAAATACACAAAAAAACTTCATCAAATTTTGTACAAGTAGTACCCTTTTAGCACATCATTTCGACACTCGGTTCGTACACCATTATATCCACATTACAAACATAACATATTTCGCACACACTCACATTTGTATAGATATAAACGTATTGAAAAGTGCAATAGTGTTGGGCAGTTAAAATGGTAATTTTGAGTGATACAGTACAAAGCAGTGCATATACAACATGAAGAAAAAATAGATACAAGAAAAAAACTTCAGTATAGCCTGTGCAGGCAAAGTGATTAAGGTACACTTTACCATCATTTCGACACTCATGTATGCCCATCAGACATGTTTCTCATCTACGAACACGAATTTTGGAGCCATATTCCATTAAATGAAGAGAGCAATTGATTTTGGTATTATATTTGGCTTCGTTGCTTGAGATGCATAGTTTTTAGGTTATGATAAAAAAAACAAGTTTAAACATAGTTAAGATTTCCAGTAATTTTTATAGCATGGTTCACTAGTGAAACTCCTTATTTTAATCAGTCAGACGATTTTAAGATATTATATCTACATTAAAAAGAGCAATGCACGTATGTTATATATTTTTACTTACTGTACTTTATAATGTACAATATATACTTATTAAAATGTACTTGCTTTCACTTACCAGTTAGCTGTATTTTAGTGAATAATTCCAAATTGACCAGCTTCTGTTTTAAATAAGAGTTCGTTATCATTGCTACTGTCTGGGATGTGAATTCCAATATATAGGCGTTGACTTTACTTTGCTCTGTGACGTAGGTCTTCTACATTAATTATATCCCATCCTTACACCCCATTGAATTATCGTTCATATTCGAATCAGTGTGCATGCGTGCGGACGTGCGTGCATGTGTGTGTTTGTGAGAGCGCGCGCGCGTGTGTGTGTGTGTGAATGCTAAAGGCCTTGCATTGTATGAAAGCTTGGGAATTGTTGCTGCATTTCAAAGCAACTACAATAAAACAACAACAATAAAACATCAAAGACGCTAACTAGGCTCAAACAAATTTACCATTCAACACGAATGCGATTGGTAAATACATGTATCCCTAAGGATGTTGTGTTAAACTCAGTTCGTATTTAATCAAGTAAATTGTGAATAGGAACATTCATGGATTGACATAGAACTTGAATGAATTGGCGTCACATACGTTCACTGTATCTCCATGTTATCTTCTAAAGTATCTAAAAATCCATTGCTATGCAGCTAACCCCTTTCGTTTAAGACGTTCTATCGAACACGCCACAGACACGATCACTGAATAGTTTGCACATGCAGGACCGATTAGGAGAAGTTGGCAAGGCTTTTTACGAGCCTTTTCCCCTCAAATGCATTGCAGCAAGCTTGTACAATATTGGAAATTCATCTAGTGCTGAATAATCAATAATGTGGCCGCTAGTTCTCGCAAACATCGTTGAACATGTTTGCTGTTTTCTACAGAAATAGGCATTTCCAATATATCGACAAATCGGCAGATATTAATACAAAGGGTTGCAGTTGGAGGTTTGGCCATGCGAAGCACAATAGAAATACTAAGTGATCACCAAAAACCAGAAGCGGCGTTGAGTGAATCTCATTTTTTATTAAAAAGCAAACGTGCACAAATAAATCAATCTATATAGAGGTTGTTATGTGATGATACTACGCGAATGGGGAAAACGTGGTAAATACCATGCATGCGATGGAGTGGAAGATGGTGCAGTTATCTATGTGGAAGTGAGCTTGATTTCCAGCCATTATCATACATCTGTATTTTCATTCCTCATTAGTTCAATTTCCTCAGCGTAGCATATGCATTTATTATCCTTGTGTTTATAATAGTACGTTTGTCGTTTACAGAGTTCAAAGCGAGTGTTGCGGTCCAATGAGATTACCCTACCACCAGGTGGCATCATTGACACAGAACTTGACCTGTCTTTCTCGTTGCAGGTAAGATTACGAATAATACGTGCTGTTATTTCATGAGAACCAGACCAGTACAGCTACTGTAGTCAGCTTAACCTCGTTCATATGCCTTATTAAAATATCAAGATTACATGCTATTTTTGTTGTAACTAACATTTAACTAGTCTGTCATTCTCGCGAGGCTGCTTGCATTATCTCACACTACAGACAGTGCACACTAGCTAACACATCATGGTTTATCACGGGTTGACCTGTACGTTTAGTTTTCTGTCCTATATGCCAGCCATGCTTTGGTTCATTACAAGCAGGACGACGGCTGTAATGTAATAGCTATGCTATGAGCAGTGCATCACCAGACAACTTTGAATAAATTATTTGTAATTTACATGCTTTTGTATCGGTAGTGGTGTGGGGGGGCGGGGTGGCTGTTTTAGAACCTGAGGCCTCTTCCCTATTTAAAATGGTAACAAAATAGGGGGGTAATCACTTGTAGGGGAATCTATGAAAAATATTTGCACTTGCTCTTCATTTGTAGTGCTACACTAGTTGCAGTAACCTATAGAAAACAATCAGCATGGTGAAGGTTTGATTTATCTGTGCACACCATACATTACCATATATAAATAGTTATTGATAAAGCGTTAATTTCTTCTAAAAATGCTTAAGAGAATGCGAGAGCATTAAAATTTGAAATTAATTTTAGCCGAATAGGCGCAGCATTCACTACCTGTTGATTTGTTGTCATGTAAGTTTAACAACAGAGTAGGTAACCTGGTTAATGTTATCAGACTCTTAGGTCAGCTCATAGACTGGCAGATAGCAGAACATGGTGTGACTACAAATTAGAGGTGCATAATTTCAATAATGAGACATCAATGTTTAGACTTTGCAACCGCAGCATCTCTGGACAAGGAAGGGTGATTTCATGGCCTGGATGTGCGTGCCTGGATGCGTGCCTGATTTGTGTGGCAATGACAACTACATCCCAAGAATATGTGCTTATTGACAACACATTGTCGCAGCCAGCTGCCTGTACGGAATGCGGGGTGCCTAGTTGGCGGCAGCAAGCCAGCAGGCTCGTATTGATTCCGGCGCTTTTATGCGATTGTCGTTTTGCAGTATCCACACTTTCTGAAGCGGGAGGGCAACGTGTTGCAAATAATGCTGCAGCGGCGGAAGCGATACAAAAACCGAACGATCCTCGGCTTCAAAACGCTCGCCATCGGTATCGTCAACATGGCCCAGGTACAACTCACTAATTTATCGTCTACCTCATCATTCAGGGTGCATGTTAAGTGGTTCAAGCAACATGCATAGCATCTATGCAACTTGTACGTTTTCAATATGTGAACTGCACAATGTCCAGGTAACATGTATGCAAGTGAGGTAGTAACGTGCACAGTAACCAGGTAGCGTATACAGTGCCCAGATAGCATATACAGCCATATAACATATACAGGGTCCAGGTAGCATATGCAGTGTCCAGATAGCATATACATTGCCCAAGTAATGTATACAGTCTTTAGTAGCGTATACAGTGCCCAGATAGCATATACAGTGGCCCAGTAATATGTAAAATCCTTATGTAATGTGTTGAGTTTATATGTAATGTGCGCAGTCCACCCACGTGTGGTGCTCAGTTCTACAGGCAATGTGTGCAGCACCCGGGTAATGTACTCGGTCCACAAGTAATACATACAGCACCCAGGCAATGCGCTCGGCCCATAGGGAACGTGTACAGCACCCAGATAATGTGAACATACATCAATCAGGTTATCTATACGGACAGACTTAGTAATTTGTACACTGCTAAGGTAACTGCATACACAAACAGCCTGCTTATACTTTAATGGGGGCATCGTTACAAGGAATCATTATGACAGCACTTGATAAGATATTGCATGCGTTTTAGTTCCCATGTGATTTCATTGGCTATCGTACAGTACTACCTTAATAACTACTTGGCCCTAACTGCTACAATTACTGTAAAACAATCAACATAGCAGATTATAGATATCATCGAGAATAGACCTTATAGATTCTCTGTCTTACAGTTACATCCCCATGCGTAGTTTGAAGTGATTAGTAGCTAGGATAGATGGTGCATGTTTTGCTGTTGGTAGGTTCTGCAGCGTCACATGGACAGGGAACTGGACCTTTTCAGTGCTGGAAACTCAAAAGAGAAGGACGAACTCGTTGCCAAGGTGATGATGCTGTCGCTAAGCAGTCAGCCGGTGGAGCAGGAGGACACACTTCCGCTGCGCAAGAAGCAAGTGTCAGAGACAGGTAAGAGTGATCCCTCGATGACACACCTTGAGACAGGTGAGAGTGGTCCCTCGATCACACACCTTGAGACAGGTGAGAGTGGTCCCTCGATCACACACCTTGAGACAGGTGAGAGTGGTCCCTCGATCACACACCTTGAGACAGGAGAGAATGGTCCCTCGATCACACACCTTGAGACAGGTGAAAATGGTACCCCGATGACACACCTTGAGACAGGTGAGAGTGGTCCCTCGATCACACACCCTGAGACAGGTGAGAGTGATCCCTCGATGACACACTTTGAGACAGGTTAGAATGGTCCCTCGATTACACACCATGAGACAGGTGAGAATGGTCCCTCGATGACACACCTTAAGACAGGTTAGAATGGTCCCTCGATGACACACCTTGAGACAGGTGAGAGTGGTCCCTCGATGACACACCTTGAGACAGGTGAGAGTGATCCCTCGATGACACACCTTGAGACAGGCTAGAATGGTCTCTCGATGACACACCTTGAGACAGGTGAGAGTGATCCCTCGATGACACACCTTGAGACAGGTTAGAATGGTCCCTCGATGACACACCTTGTGACAGGTGAGAATAGTCGTTCAATGACACACCTTGAGACAGGTGAGAATGGTCCCTCGATGACACACCTTGAGACAGGTTAGAATGGTTTCTCGATGACTCACCTTGAGACATGTGAAAATAGTCCCTCGATTACACACCTTATGTTTCACTTGTACGCAAACATCATCAACCTTCAAATGAGAATTCTGTTAACATGCGCTGATCGTAGTAAGCTGATGAGAGGGTGATGGTTTATGGTGGCTTTACTAATAACTGCTGATCGCTACAGGTGCAGGGTTTGAATTTTATCATAGCACCAGCAGCACGTGTAGTGGTTGATCTTCTCACTTGCTACGCTGCCTCGAATATTGGTTGATTTTCAAAGCAGTAAAACCCTGCGGCTACGCTAGGGAGCTTTGTAGCTCCTATACATCCCACTACACGTGCGTATTTTATCCTCCGTTTCTCGCACAAAAACGCAGTTGAAGTTATACAATCTCTGCTTAAACCCAACGCAACACTTGCGTTGACTTGTTTCTTGCTTTGCACTTCTTACTTTTTTGCTTTGCTTACATCTTGCTTACATCTTGCTTATTTTTTGCTTTGCCTACATCTTGCTACTTTCTTGCTTACTTTTTGCTTTGCTTACTTCTTGCTTACTTTTGCTTAACTTTTTTGCTTGCTTACTTCTGGCTTAGCTTCTTGCTTTATTTTTCTGCTTTGCTTAGCTTCTGGTTTACTTTTTGTTGCTTAAATCTGCTTACTTTCCTATTTTGGCTTTGCTTACATTTGCTTCGCCTTACTTTTTTGGCTTTGCCTAATCGTTGCTTACTTCTTGCTTACTTTTTGCTTTTGCGCTAGCAGTTTGCTTACTTCTTGCTTTTACTTTTTTTGGCTTGCTTACTTCTTGCTTACTTCTTGCTTACTTTTTGCTTTGCTTACATCTTGCTTACTTCTTGCTTACTTTTTGCTTTGCTTACATCTTGCTTACTTCTTGCTTACTTTTTGCTTTTCTTACTTCTTGCTTACTTCTTGCTTACTTCTTACTTTGCTATATCTCGACTTCTTGTACTTTGCTTGTTACTTCTTGCTTTGTTACTTTTTGCTTATTTTACTGCTTGTGCTATACTTCTTCTTTAGCTTCTTCTTCGGGCTGACTTCTTAGCTTACTTCATATTCTTGCATTTACTCTGCTATTTCCTTACTTCTTACTTCTTGCATAGTTCTTGCTTACTTCTTGCTTTCCCACTTGCACTTACTTCCATTACAAGAAGTTTGACATGTTTGACCCCTCCTCCCTCTCACCCCTCAGATGGCCAACCCAATGCAACACTTGCCTTCTCCTACAAACAATTTGACATGTTTGACCCCCCTCTCTCCCTCCCTTCAGATGGCTACTCAGACCTGGAGGAGGGATGGACTCGTCGCCGGCGAGGGCCGCAGTGAAGTGAGCCGATGATGGATGTTGAGGCGACGGCGCCCGAGGAAGAGGTACCAGCGACGTGACAGGGCCTTGTGCCGGAGGGTACGTGACGCGCGGGGCGGTGACGCGATACGTTGATGCGCAGGCCGCGGTGACACGACAGCAGAGGGTAGGTGAGCGGTTGGCGCGGATGCATGACGTGGTAGGTGACGGGTTGGCGCAGTGATGCGGGGTAGGTGACCGTTGGCGCGGAACGAGTGATGCGTGGTAGGTGACCGTTGGCGCGGTGATGCGTGGTAGAGTGACCCGTTGGCGCGGTGATGCGTGCGTAGGTGAACCGTTGGCGCGGTGATGCGTAAGGTACGGTGACCTGTTGCGCGCAGTGATGGCTGGTGTAAGTTGACGCTTTTGGCGGCGTGATGGCGTGGTAGGTGACCGTATGGCTGCAGTGATGCGATGGTAGGTGACCGTTGGCATGCAGGTGATATGGTGCGTAGGTGACCGTATGCTGGCGGTGATGCGTGGTCGAGGTGACGGTTGCCGGGCAGTGATGCGGGGTAGGTGGACGTGGCGCAGTGACGCTGGGGTAGGTGACCCGTTGGCGCGGTGAGGCGGGTTAATGTGACCGGTTGACACACCGTAATGCCGCGTTAGAGCTAGAGTGTGCCGGCGGCACATCAGTGCTGCAACGATGAGTCGCAGTACGTCCTCGACGATCTCACTACACGATAATCACACCGCGCTGGTGCAGGTCTTCTCGATACACGGATTACATCCACGCGCTTAATATTAAAACGCAGAGTTGTAAAGGTTAAATTTGCAGCTTATAAAGCTTCACAGACCAGTCACATGTCTACTTTTCTATCACACAATCCGTGTAGAATGTAAAATGAGTACTTATTTCCAACTTACTGACAGGTGTATATTGTGATAAAATGAAATATTATGAATAATTAAAGCTGTTCAGGTTAAATATGGTCATGCATAGCTAATCATGTAATGGAAAAAAATAATAGCACATGTATTTCGCATGTTGCATGTATTATGTATTAGCATCACCATTGGCAATACACAGCCTACAGTGCTGGCAAGTAGAAAATCGTGTAGAAATCATGGGTAATCTAATAGGATAGGAAGTAACAGGTGATGGCTACCTCTAGCTCACTCTGTCACTGTTTCGTGATATTAATTTGCTGTAGTCGGTGAGGTAATATTTTAAGCTGCGCAGAAAGTCGTTATATCTCTAACCTGTTTCGGCAGTGAGTGCCGCCTGTGTTTTCAGCAGGTGCCTATGTGAATTTTTTAAACCACGGAAAAAATATGTGTTACGCTTGGGGTGCGTAAAAGATGCTTTGATGTTATTGGCTGCAACGCTTGATTTGTTATTCGTGGGCAGGGTAATTTTAATAAGGGATTTCGATTGGCATCCGCTGAACATTATAGGTGTGTGGGTTGAAATCCGTCTCTGTCGGCAGACGTACGAACAAATCCTTTCAGCAGCTGTCAGCTGCATCCTTTTCTAGAGAGAGTTTACACAGGTGGTACAAGCTTTATCTCACGCCTGCGACTGTATGTTTAGGCCCAAGGCGTTCTAAAAATCTGGGAGATAGAGCACCAGGTGCTGCAGAGGCCTTTATCACCTGCTATTGGTAATTTTTAGGCCCAACCGGCGTCTAAAAACCTGGAGTTTCGCGCGTGGCTGGCACGTCATGCGTCGTCACACTGCGACTTGTTTTTTTTTTTCGCGCCCGCGGTCTAGCCGGCAGGCCGTCGGAACCTGCAGGCAGAAGCTGGAGTGGCGTTGCTGAAGCGCTTCAAGGTGTCGCCGAGAGGCTGCAGGAGGCACGACCAGGATGCGTTGAGGCGTGCACCAGCAGGAGATCGAGGACCCTGCCTGTTTGCACGAAGGCTGCGAGGACCTGAGCGACTACCGGACCGCGAGATGGACACCATGAGGCCGCATTTCTTCGCCACCTAAACCTAGTGCTCCGGTAATTGCAACGCACCTAAACTATGTCTTCACTTATGTCACGGCACCTTAAACACTAGTCTCGGCCACTATGTCACACACCTAAAGCCTATCTCGCGGTATGTCACGCACGTCGCTAAACCTAGTCTCCACTATGTCTCCGCAGCACTGGACTAAACTAGTCTCTCGGTATGTCGACGCGACCAAGATAAAACCTATAGTCTCTCACTATGTCACACACCTAAAACCTAGTCTCCACTATGTCACCGCACTAACACGTCTACTATGACACCTAACGTCTCCACATATG